CAGAAATATTTCTCATCAAGCATCTACTGTGTATGAAATGTGGGAGTACAAATAAAGGGGAAAGAAATGGGAAATTCAAATGCCAGTTTCTGCCATCCCAAAGCTAACAATTTGTTTATATGCCATAACAACTGGAGGCCTGGGCCGGGCATGATGGCTCACACCTGTAATTGCAATACTTTGGGAGGCCAAGACAGGTGGATCACTTGAGGTCAGGAGTTCGAGACCAGCCTGGCCAACATGGTGAAACTCTGTCTCTACTAAAAATTAAAAAAAAAAAAAAAAATAGCTGGGAGTGGTGGCATGTGCCTGTAATCTCACCTACTTGGAGGCTGAGGCAGGAGAATAGCTTGAACCCCAGAGGCAGAGGTTGCAGTGAGCAAAGGTCACCACCGCACTCCAGCCTGGGCGACACAGAAAGACGCTTTCTCAAAAGATAAAATAAATTAAAATAACTGGAGGCCTATTAAAAGTGCATCAGTTTAGGAGTTTGCACCTGTGGGTCTTGGTCCCTTAGCATTCCCTGGAATTGCAGGATTGGTACTGGCTGATGCCTATGTGCTTGGGGTAGTTTTCCCTTAAGGCCTGGGCTTTGCTTTCTTTCAGGCAACATAAGGTCTCAGCTAGGTTTGTGGGGAGGAGGAATAAAGTTGGACCGGGTCGGGAGCTGGGCCATGGGGGAATGTGTGAATCTGGAGAAACGAGATGGGACAGAGACGAAGAGCAGGGGAGAAGAGGAGGCTGTCAAAGGGTCACTCTCCATGAGGGTTAGAAACAAGGACCCTTTTCCTGTACCACTGAACAGCTCAAGAAAGAGGAAGGAAGGCGTGCCAGGTTCCAGGGCCATCTTGTCACCAATGTAAACCACCAAGACAATGAGTAGTCAAGGCTGCTCAAACTGGGTCACAAGAGCTTTAGAGCAAGCAGTGGGGGTTTGTTCTAGGGGACGCTGGGCCTACCAACAGGGATGAGCCAGAAGGAACAGAAAAGTTCCCGGCTAAAGGTAAAGCCAGATCCAGGTGTGGCTGCTGTAGTTTGGATGTTTGTTCCCCCAAATCTCACCTTGAAATTTGATCCCAGTGTTGGAGGTGGCGCCTAATGCGAGGTATTTGGCTCATGGGAGTGGATCCTTATGAACAGATTAATGCTCTCCCTGTGGAGGAGAGGGAGGCAACGAGTGAGTTCTCTCTATTCACTCACTTGAGAGCAAGTTGCTCCAAAGAACCTGGTACTGCCCTTCTCCCCTTCTCTTGCTTCCTTCTTCTTGCTATGTGATCCCTGCTCCAGTTCACCTTCTGCCATGAGTGGAAGCAGCCTGAGGGCTCACCAGGGCAGAAGCTGGTGCCATACTTCTTGTATAGCCTGCAGAACTTTGAGCCAAATAAACCTCTTTTCTTTATAAATTACCCAGCCTCACCAGGCATGGTGGCTCATGCCTGTAATCCCAGCACTTTGGGAGGCCAAGGTGGGTGGATCACCTGAGGTTAGGAGTTCAAGACCAGCCTGACCAACATGGCAAAACCCCATCTCTATTTTAAAAAAATTCAAAATTAGCTGGGTGAGATGGAGGGCGCCTATGATCCCAACTACTAGGGAGGCTGGGGCAGGAGAATCACTTGAACCTGGGAGACAGAGGTTGCAGTGAGCCAAGATTTCGCCACTGCACTGCAGTCTGGGCAATAAAAGTGAAACTCCATCTCAAAACAAATAAATACATAAATAATAAGTTACCCAGCTTAGGACATTCCTTTATAACAACACTAAACCACCAGGCGCAGTGGCTCAAGCCTGTAATCCCAGCACTTTGGGAGGCCGAGGCGGGCGGATCACGAGGTCAAGAGATCAAGACCATCCTGGTCAGCATGGTGAAACCCCGTCTCTACTAAAAATACAAAAATTAGCTGGCCATGGTGGCGCGTGCCTGTAATCCCAGCTACTCAGGAGGCTGAGGCAGGAGAATTGCCTGAACCCAGGAGGCGGAGGTTGCGGTGAGCCAAGATCACGCCATTGCACTCCAGCCTGGGTAACAAGAGTGAAACTCCGTCTCAAAAAAAAAAAAAAAAAAACCACTAAACCGACTGAGACAGTGGCCATGTGCAACAAGCCTGGAGCAGAGATTGCAGAGCACCCTGGGCCGGGCAGCCTCCCGACTGCCTGGAGCCCTGGGCAGTTTTTCATGTGTCAGCCATGGCTCCTAGCCCCAGCAGTCCGTGCACATTTCTAGGACTGTCATGCATCACTTACCAGCAGATGCTGGGACTACTGATGCATACCACACAGAGGAAAGAGTTCTGCTTATTAAATTACTAAATCGTGTTAGAAAAGATGGCAGCTTACTCCTAATAGAATTTGTGTGTTTCTCATGATCCTTGGCAACTACAATGAGATTTTTAAATCTCCAATATGGTGCCAGGGGTATAGATTTTACCAACCAGTTCTCTCCCTATTCAGAAGCAGAGCCCTCAAAAACAGCTCTGTCCTCTGGGAAGGAATTGTGCTTTCTTAGTATAACAGAGTCTTTCTAATTTGTTTAAAATCTGTTCTGCTGACTGAGGGGTAGTGAGGAGGGTGTTTTCTTTAGGGAAACCATGTATGTGTGCGCACACCTGTGTGTGTGGAGAGGGTGTTTTCTGAAGCGGTAGTAGTTGAGAGGGTATGAAATACTATTGTTTATTTGATATCATTTTATTCCTCCCACCTTCCTGCTCACATATGCAACAAATGGTAGAAATGAACGCGGGATGCTTGTGCTGTGAGAAGTTGATGAATGCCTCGTCCCCGGCCTCACGCTGCCACCCCTGGATGACAGTGCTTGCCGTCGGAAGTTACTCTGTTTTTCAGGCACTCAATGCCACATTGTTGAACGCAGAGGATTACCTAGGCTGCGAAAGAATGTGGGAAGTGTCTCACTGCATTTAAACTGCCATCAGGTTAAGTCAGGGAGAAACATGAGCCTCACTCTGCAAGAAGGAAAAGTTTAATTTAATGAGTAAACCTGACTTCAGGTGTTTTCTGGAAGGCGGATTTTATCTAATGACTCAGCTTTGTTTTTGCCTCTCTGCTCTTTTCCCTTGAGCTCCAGAAGCAAATTGGTTTTAGGGTCTTTTTTTTTTTTTTTTTTTTCATTCAAAACATCTCTTCTTACTCTAGTGATATCATCCCTGGAAGACTGAGACGTAAGAATAGGTGAATCATGTGTCACCTCGCTTCTCTTCTAGAATTACATCAGTCAGAGCTCGGGGGTGCAGTGGGGATCAATGCCAAAAAGCAGAGGGGAGGAAGGAGAGACGGGGAGGGCATAGACGGGGGAGGAGGGGTGCTGGCTTTTTCCAGCCGGCTTCTTTTCTTATTCCTCCTCCTCAACCTTCAAGTCCCCCTTCCTATTTCTAAATCACGTAAGAGGAACAATCAGACTTTAAGAGATGGCTGCTTTATATTTATTGATGGTGTTGGTTTCAATGCCATTTGCCTGAACTTTGGACCAATCACCATATGCCCATCTGTCACAGATGAAAGCCATCACTGGCATTCTCACCAGACACTTAAACTAGATAAGAATGAAGACACACAGACCCTGCCCTGCCTCCCAAGTATTGGTCATATTATCTTCACTCTGTCTCATCTCTTCATCAGTTTCAAACAGCAGAAGAACTTGGCAATGCATGGAAATAATTTGAAATGTGAAATCTAGTCACGCAGGCTAGTGATGGCCCACACAGCCGTTTGCTGATCAGGTGAGCGCATGGGGGTGAAAGGGCTCGGATGTGTGGGCGGGCTGAGATTTGACTTTCCTGACGTCTCTCTAGCTGGGGTTTTTAATGTCATTCAATGATGTGTATCTGAGGTATTCATGGAGAGATATCGGGTCTCACAACCAAGCCAAAATAGAATAGATTCAAAGGCCTGGACCTTGTCCTTATGCCCTTAAGAAGAGACTGAATATTTTTTAAAAAATATTTTCCACTCACCCTCTTTTCTTTCTTAAAGCTAGTTCTATGCCTGAACCACTCCTGTTAATTAGGAAGAAAATCTTTCGTCCTCCTTTCCTCTATGGTTCCAGTGAATTCCAGACTCCTTAGGATTTCTGGGTTTGGCTGCTCAGAACATATTTCGGATGAAAACAAAGCAAAGCGGCCTCAGGACACCAGGGAAGGCCAGGAGTGAGATCCATTTCTGCAACACAGGAAGAGAGGCCCGAGGGGGTAAAAGGAAAATAGAATTTGCAGAAGGCACAGTTTTCGCAGCATCTTATTACAACTTCCAGCTGACCGGGTGTAGCCAAACTAGAGACATCTGTTTGGAGTTTACAACAGAAACAAACACACAGAAAGCATGAAAGCGCTCTAACAGCTCCTCTCCACCTCGACCTTCGGGCCATCCCCCCACTGGGCCACACTGGGTTATAGAAGGGAAGGAAATGGGCTTTGCAGCCTGCCCAGCCACCCACCCACCTGCACCGTGACTCACTCACACCAGGATCGGAACTTGTCAACTTTTCTCTCCCCCTGGTTTTCCTCTCAGGAAAAACAGAGATGGCCCCACTTCTCAGAGAACTCCTCTATGGGTTCTTAGTTCATCTTCAAAGCTCCTTGAGCTGTTTGTGAAGGAAAAGATAATGGAGTCTCCTCACACTTGATTAGTAGTACGGCCCCCAGGACGAGGCGGTAAAATCTCGGCTGACCTGGAAAGTCACTCCTCCATAAATAACCTCACAGGTCTGAGAGTGCAATAAGGAACTCACCCTGGCCTCTCCAAAAGACCAGAAAAAGACCAGACTCGCACAACTTCATGAGTGAAAAATACGGGATAATACCTGAAAGGGGGGCCCCAGACACAGCACCCGGACTTGTGGAGGTCCAGGAAGGCCCCAGATGATGCGTCAAGGGGACCTTCCTTCCCTAATTCTCTCCAAGCACAGGAAAGACCAAAGACTGTCCTATGTCACCCAGGGTTGGACAGTCTCTCCCACTCCCACACAGCAGTTCCAGAAGCTCACCTGATCTGTTACATTTTCCTCTTTATTCTCTCCCCACTGGCTGCAAACAGAACCAGAACAGTGCTACTTTTAAAAAATAACAAAATGTTTTATACACATTTCTGTATATACAACTGAACATTTTACATGTTTCTTTTGCACAGCAAAAGATATAAACAATCAGCTCTGAGAACACAGTTATGTACAGAAAAAAGTCAAAAATACTTCACAATAGTGCAAAAATATTTTACACAGTATCATGGAGTGAGATCTTTTGAGCAAGAGGAAGGGTGTGTGTTCGTGTGTGTGTGTGTTTCTAAAGGAAAACTCCTTTTTAAGATATTAGATGTCTTTAGCTGTAAACAAAATGCAACTTTCTTTCATCTCCCCCCACCACCCCCCCAAACAGTTATTTGAGGAATTTGGCAGAGTTTCAGGGGTCTGAGTCTGAGGTAAACAGCCCGAGCTCTTGCATCAAAAAGAACCGAGGGCCAAGGGGTGGCATTAAAGCCTCAAACACCTTGAGAGCAAATACTCTCTCTTTTTTTTCAATGACATGTCAGTGACAGCGCAGGGCCGCTCCCAGGGGATGGGAGGAGGAAGTGAACCCCTCCTCCTCAGGCCCCAGCTGCCCCACAAACAGGAAACTGGCCAGGCACCTATGGCCTGAGACTAGGAACTTCAGCCAGCCTTCCTTCACCCGCACCCCAGAGGGCTGCCTCTCTCTCCCTCCTGGCGGCGTTTCTCCTCTCACATCACACCGCATTCCCACGCGCAACCCGAGTCCGCCTTGCACAGAGCCAAAGTGCTAGGGCGGGAGTGGGGGCGGGGAGGTAGGGGGAGCGGTCAGGGGGAACTCTCGGCCTGGGCCCCAAAGGCCCCATTTCCCCTTTCCTGGGGGCGGGCAAGGGACAGGGAGGTTGTCGGGGCCACGGATGGGTAGCCACGGTGGAGCGCTGGGGACGCACGGAGGAGCTCAGCTCGAGTGGGACTCATCGGTGCTGGCGCTGTCGGCCTGGCCCGACCGGTCCCCAGCGGTGGCGTCCGGGCCCCCGCCCTCGATGGAGCTCTCGCTGCCCGTGCTGTCGCCTGACAGCAGGCGCGTCACCCGCAAGTCGGCCTGCAGGGTGCGCACGTCGTTGCCGAAGCTGAGCTCGCCCAGATCGTTAATAAGTTGCGACAGCTCGGCCTTCATGTCGGAGGCGCTGCCCAGCAGGAGAGGCGGCGGCCCCGCCCCCGGGCCCAGGGAGCCAACGCCGCCCCCCAGCGCCTCCCCGCGGCCATTCTCCAAGGTGTCCAACAAGTCCCCGCACTCAAAGTGCATGGCAACCACCAGCGCCCGCTGCGCCTCGGCCTCCTCCTCTGCTGGATCTCCCTCTGCTGCGCGGTTCTCCTCCTCCGGGGAGCCCCCGGGATGCTCCTCTTCCTCTTCCTCCTGCAGCTCCTGCTCCTGCTGTTCGCCGAGCAGGTCCTCAGTGATGGAGCCGAGCTTGGGCGCGCTGCGGCTACGCTCCACCGGCGGTTTATAGCAGCTGGGGCCGTGCAGAAGCAGCTTGCGCAGCGGCACTAGCGGGATGGTGTGCGCCCCCACCAGCTCCTGCTGCTGGTGACGCGCGTCGTCCCGCCGCTTGAGGCGTTTAAATTCCGCCAGCGCGTTGGCCGACGTCTGGTAGAGCAGCAGGGCCATGGCCTGCGCCTTTTCGGGCTTGGACACCAGCACCGCGTGGCAGCGCAGCATCACGGCCTTGTGCTTCAGCTCGTGCCGGTACACCCAGGCGAAGACCTTGGGCAGCCGCGCGTCTGCCACGCAGTAGGTGACGCGGTGCAGCAGGTAGAGGTGGCCTGGGCGGCGCAACGCGCGCTCCTCGGCGTGGACCATGCGGATACCCTGCGCACTCACCGTCAGCTTCATCTTGGTGCCCTGACGGCCCGCCTCGCTTTTGCTCCAGATCTTGCCCACAGCAAGGTCGGTGCAGCCGTCGCCGCGCGCCTGGATGGTGGTGGCATTGCCCAGGTAGAGCACGGTGTAAGTTGGGTCCTCGCTGGTGATGTGCAGCTTCTTGCGCTTGGAGCGGAACATGCTGCCCACCCGGCTAAGCGCGCCTTCGGGGCACGCCCGCGCCAGCGAACTGAGCGCCGAGTAGTGCAGGCTCACAGCGTAGCCCTTGGGCTTGGACGCCTGCCGCGGCGGCGACTCGGCCAGCAGCTCGAACTTGTGCTTCTTCCACGGCAGCATCTCCGGAGGGCGCCCCGGCGCAGCTGGGCGGCGGCGGCGGAGCGCCGGGTGCGAGCCCCGCTGAGCCACCGGCCCCAGCCGGGCTCGGCCCGGGCAAGATCGAAAAATAAAATTCTACTGGGAGTGGCCCAGGGGTAGAGAGTTGGGGGGAGGAGGGGAGAGAGAGTGTTAGGAACCCCGCAGAGGGTGGGGGTAAATTTTCTAAAAAAGAAAATATTCAGCTTCGAGTGTGCAGAAAAGGTGTGTGTGTTGGGCGCGGGGAGGGGGGGGTTGGAGGGGCCGCACGCGCACACAGACTTACCCCAGTCTGGGCAAGAGCGAGGGCAAAGAGTCTCAGGCAAGCCACAAAATGCGAGAGAGAACGAGTGTGGAGGGGAAAAGGTCAGGAAAAAAGCTAGAGGCGCGCGTGCAAATAAAGAGAGCCCCAGCAACAGCACCGGAATGGTGCGAGAATATGCAGGAACTCCTCGGCAAACGCGAAGAGGGTCCCCTAACACACACAACCCCTAGGACTGGGGCCGAAACCCGCGGAAACTCTACAGCGAGTGTGCCCAGGGACCGCTGCTCCCCACCTCCAAGGGGTGCTGGAGACGAAGAGCCCCTCGACCGGGCTGGTCGCAGAGACAGCAGCTGGCCCCAAGTGCGGTGGGAGGCTGGGTCCGGCTGGCCGCGGCGGGCCCCGCGCAGCAGTCCCGCGGAGGCTCACTGCATCTTCGATCCGCCAGACACCGGGGTCTCGCGCTCGGCCGGCTCAGTGTCCGGGCTGGCTTGGCCAGGGCAGCGCTGGGCTCCGAGGGCAGGGGGCGCGCATGGTCGGCTCTGGGGACCGCCGCTACCTCATTTCTTCCCTCCGAGGCGGTGTCCAACTCCGCTGCCCGGCTCTCCGCGGTCGGCTGCCCGCCTTTGCAGCGCGCCCTCTCCAGTGCAGCGCGCGATGGCCGGCTCGCCTGCCTCACATCCTTGCAGTCCGGGAGGAAGATCTCGGGTAAATATAGGCCGGCGCGAACCATTCGCCGCGCGGGGACAGGGGAGGAGCAGAGAAGAGGATCTGTTTCGGGATCCGACGCCGAGCGGATTCCCGGTCTCTTAAAGGGACCCGGCGACAGCCATTGCTCGAGGGAGCGGGGAGACCGGTCCAATCCGGCAATTACATTACAAATTTATCAGCATCTCTTTGTCTACGGAAATCACTGGGACCTGGGGTTACCCCGCAGCAAAAGGACTTGAATCCTGACACTCCACCCCCAGGCTGAATTGCAACTAGATGAATACACGTATGTCTATATCGAAACTTCTGGGGTAGGTGGCAGAAGATGAGATTATAGGCTAGGCTATAATTTCCTAAGCAAAAAGTTTGGGAAAATAGTGGTTTCTTCCTTGTGTGACAGCTCTCCGAGAATGACTGGATGCTGTTTAATATTCTTATTTTCAGAATTGTATTCGATTAAAGAAAGAGAGAGGCACAGAAAACACCAAGGCTTATCTTTCACTGTCTTGGGGCTCGAATTCACAGGTAAGCGGCAGACAGTGAAAAGTCAGGTGCATGGTAAGATGATTGGAGTGAATCCTGTAGACTATCATCAATGAATAAGGGGCTTCCCGATCCTAACCCCCAGCAAGACCCCCTCCTGCTGTCGGCCTCAGGGTAGAGCAATTTTTTGAGATACATACAATTTTTTTCTTTCTTTCTTTCTCTCTTTCTTTCTTTTTCTTTCTTTCTTCCCTCCCTCCCTCCCTCTCTCCCTTTCTCTCTCTCTTTCTTTCGAGACGGGGTTTCACCATCTTGGCCAGGCTGGTCTCGAACTCCTGACCTCGTGATCCACCCGCCTCAGCCTCCCAAAGTGCTGGGTTTACAGGCGTGAGCCGCTGCGCCCCGCCTGAGATACATACAATTTCTAAGTAATGCGTGTGTAGTTAGTTTACTTCACCAGGCCATTCATGCAGTTTTATTATATATCATTGACATATTTTGGATGAGAATTCCTAGTAAAAATTCAAATGACATTTTTTATTTGAGTGACAAATAACACCTGGCCACCCTCCAATGGGAGTGATAATTGCATCAGTATTGCTTTTATCATGTGCCAATTGGACAGTGTAGTTGTAGTCCTCCAGCTGGCTTCACCCTTAGCCAGTTTCATTTCTGGGCCCTTGAAACAACCTGCTTGCTTCTATGGTCTCCTCAGTCAAAGCAAAAAGACTTATAGCTGGAGTGGGATAAATGTCCAAATGATCCGACATCAAACTCCAGGCTGGTCCTGGACAAGGACAGTGATCCCTTGCCACCATCCGAGTCCACTGGGGATCTTTGATGTCTCTGGCTTCCACGCCAGAGTCACTGCAACGAATCCTGGAAATTCCCTAACCCTCTACCTTTGCCACCTTTTAACCTTCCTTTGAACTCCAACTCCAGTTTCTCAGAGTCGTTGAGTGCCAGGCCCTGAGCTAGAAGCAGACAGGATTCCTGCCTTAAGAAGGTCCTAGTCCAGTGAAGATTGTAAACTTTACCCAACTCTGTCTGGGCTTCCACTGGACTGTAGGTTCTATGCTGTATCCCCATTGTGGTACAAATAGGCACTTAATAACTAGAATTAATGAGCAAGACACGCATGTGAACAAGAAGACAGAATGGGCTAACCGCTATGAGAAAGACCCAAAGCACTATGAGAAGCTGGAGGAGGAAAGCATTCACTGTGACTAGGAAAATCAGAAAAGTCTTCATGGAGGTGATGACCTTTGAAAGATGAACAGAATTTATGCAAACAGGAAAAGACTGAAGGAATTCCTGGATATAGAGGGTAGCAAAATTATAGAAGCATGAAAAGGCATACATAAGGCCAGGCACAGTGGCTCACACCTGCAATCCGAGCATTTTGGGAGGCCAAGGCAGGTGGATCACTTGAGGTCAGGAGTTCAAGACCAGCCTGGCCAACATGGCAAAACTCTATCTCTACTAAAAATCTAAAAATTAGCCGGGTGTGGTGGTGCACACCTGTAATCCCAGCTACTAGGGAGGTTGAGGCAGGAGAATCCCTTGAACTCGGGAGGCAGAGGTTGCAGTGAGCCGAGATCACACCACGGTACTTGAGCCTGGATGACAGAGTTAGACTGTCTCAAAAAAGAAAGAAAATGTGTACACATGTAATAATTAGGATGGAGCTTAATGATTGTAACAATGAAAGAAGAAAGTTTCCTGATTGTGGTTTTTGGTCCGGCCCTCATAGTCTCTGAGGGAAGGAATGGCCTTTTCATGGCTAACTGGCCCCATAGTGTCGTTCCTCCAGAGCTATAGTGCCTTACTCCTCAGCTGCACTGAGGGGTCAATGGAGAGATACCAGACATGCTGCTGGAATGAGTTAGGACTATAATAAGCCATTTACGCTGACATTAATTTCTTAAATTTCTGGACTGTCTTGCAGTGGTAATGAAGGAGAATAAAACATTCTGGCTGAGCGTGGTGGCTCATGCCTGTAATCCCAGCACTTTGAGAGGCTGAGGCAGGTGGATCACCTGGGGTCAGGAGTTCAAGATCAGCCTGACCAACATGCTGAAACCCCGTCTCTACTAAAAATACAAATATTGGCCAGGCATGGTGGCTCACGTCTGTAATCACAGCACTTTGGGTGGCCAAGGTGGGTGGATCATGAGGAGTTTGAGACCAGCCTGGCCAACATAGCAAAACCCCGTCTCTACTGAAAATACAAAAATTAGCTGGATGTGGTGACACATGTCTGTAATCCCAGCTACTCATGAGGCTGGGGCAGGAGAATCGCTTGAACCCAGGAGTCAGAGGTTGCAGTGAGCCGAGACCGCGCCACTGCACTCCAGCCTGGGTGACAAAGCGAGACTCCATCTTAAAAAAAATCTGGTAAGAACATATCAAATGAGGCTGTGTTAAGTGACTAGCTGGTCCATTATCTTGAAGTCCAAACTCCACAAAAGCAGACGTCATGTTCAAGCAGCGATCATTTCCAAATGGCTTCAAGTTCCAAGGCTCAAGAGGGTGTGGAAAAGAGGAATATGGAGCAGTCGCAGGAGCTGAGGCTGGTCTCAGCCTTGTTGAGAGGTACCACTTTGCACTTTGTGCAGTGGCATGGATGCCAGTGGCCCACAGAGGCAGGGAGAAGGAGTCCACTCGTGGCCCCATTCTTGAGCAGCAGCCAGAGTGCCAGTCCCAGTGGCACAGGCCCACAGAGCTGCTCCCGTTGACAAGGCTATGTCATGGATTGACTGCCTTCCTAATAAGCTTGTTTGCAATCTTGGGAGAACAGAAAGGTTCTAGGCCAGTGTGAACACCCTGGTGTGAGTCATGCTCTGTACCTGTGTTCAAAGACCCAGGAGAAGAACCTGCTGTCCCCTTGTGGCCTGGACGTGGGCCAGCCCCAAGCGCCTGCCTCACTTTATGGAGAAGCCAGCCACCCCACCTGAAGCACACACCACAATTAAGGCTGCGTTTCTTCAGCTGGGAGAGCTGGCAGCACCCGGTAGGAGTCTACATCACAGATCTGAGGCAGGGCAATTCCAGAACAGACCGTCAGCGAAGTGGAGCTGGGAAGCAGGTTAGAAACTGCAGTGCAGTTTTCTAATGACACTGCCCCATCTACTGGTAGCAGGCAGACATGAGGCTTGGTGGGATGGTTTCTCATCAAACCGGATAAGCCTGTGGTTGAAACTACACATCTGGAAGGAAATGCCGCAATCAAGAGTCCCGGCCCCAAACTCAGCATTCAGAAGTCAGCCTTCCGTCTCACAGAGGCTTCGGATCGGCCTCCTCCCACCTCCTGTCTTACATAATGCTCCTTCCCTCGCCCCCTCCTCCAGCATCCCACTCAGAGGACACTGGCTTCAGAGATGACACATGACGAATCTGGAATCTTCAGCGTCATCCAGTAAATACTTATGGAGAGTCTCCCACAAATGTGACGGAGCTGCTGGGGATACAGCACTAAAGAGGACAGATAGACAGGTCTTTGCCTGCATGACATTTGCAGCGTATGGTGGAGGCACGGCAGGGAATGGGGCAAACAGTGAACAAAAAAACTAATAAAATACCAGATAGTGAAAAGCCTCTGGAGCAAAGGAGGCAGTACTAGGAAGGGAAGGTAGCCAGTTTAGACAGCATGGCCAGGGAAGGTGGCTGGTTTAGACACCAAGGCCAGGGAAGGTGGCTCTGGGCAGAGACCAGAACGAGATGAAGCTGCAAGGACATGAGGGAAAGCATTGCAACCTGCATGGCCCAGTACTTAGTCACCAGCCCACGGGCTGCTGCTGACACTTGAACCATGTGTCACTGGGCCAATGAGCTGACCCAAATTTACATGCTCTGCAAGTATGAACTACACATTGGATTTTCAGGACGTAGCAAAACAAAAAGAATGTAAAAAATCTTGATAACATTGTATTAATTATATATTGAATGATGGTATTTTGGTATGTTGAATTAAATAAAATAAATTATTAAGATTAATTTTACCTATTTCTCTAGCCTGGTCAACATGGTGAAACCCTATCTCTACTAAAAATGCAACATTAGCTGGGCATGGTGGTGCATGCCTGTAGTCCCAGCTACTCAGGAGGCTGAGGCAGGAGAATCGCTTGAACCCAGGAGGCGGAGGTTGCGGTGAGCTGAGATCATGCCATTGCACTCCAGCCTGGGTAACAAGAGCGAAACTCCATCTCAAAAAAAAAAAAATTACTATTTATTTTTGCTTCTTCTTTTTTTTTTTTTTAAGACGAAGTTTTGCTCTTGTTGCCCAGGCTGGTGTGCAGTGGTATGAGCTCAGTCCGTAACTTCCACCTCCCAGGTTTAAGCAATTCTCCTGCTTCAGCCTCTCCAGTAGCTGGGATTACAGGCATGCACCACCACGCCCAGCTAATTGTTGTTTTGTTTTGAACTCCCAACCTCAGGTGATCACCCACCACAGCCTCCTAAAGAGGTGGGATTATAGGCATGAAC